CTACCCAGACTATCTGCACTGACCCCTTTTTTTTGCACTAAACCTCTTTTTGACACATCACATACGCTGCTGCTACTGTTTATTATCTATTCTGCTGCCTAGTCACTTTATTCCTAGTTAAATGAGCAATACAGTATCTACCTCAATCACCTCATATCCCTGCACATTGGCTTGGTACCCTGCATACACTACATGACCTACAGGATGTGGACCCCTGCTTGTCGAACATCTCGTTGATATGGAGTTGGTTCCCTTCTTTTGCTGCTATAACAGCCTCCACTCTTCTGGGAAGGCTTTTCCACTAGATGTTGGAACATTGCTGTGGGGGGACTTGCTTCCATTCAGCCACAAGAGCATTAGTGAGGTTGGGCACTGATTTTGGGGCGATTAGGCCTGGCTCGCAGTCGGCGTTCCAATTCATCCCAAAGGTGTTCGATGGGGTTGAGGTCAGGGCTCTGTGCAGGCCATGTCAAGTTCCTCTACACTGATCTCGACAAACCATTTCTGTAAGGACCTCGCTTTGTGCACGGGGGCATTGTCATGCTGAAACAGGAAATGGGACTTCCACAAACTGTTGCAACAAAGTTAGAAGCACAGAATCGTCTAGAATGTCATTGTATGCTGTAGCATTAAGATTTCCCTTCACTGGAACTAAGGGGCCTAGCCCGAATCATGAAAAACAGCCCCAGACCATTATTCCTCCTCCACCAAACTTTACAGTTGGCACTATGCAATCGGGCAGGTAGCGTTCTCTTGGAATCCTCCAAACCCAGATTTGTCCGTTGGACTGCCAGATGGTGAAGCGTGATTCATCACTCCAGAGAACGCGTTTCCACTGCTCCAGAGTCCAATGGCGGTGATCTTTACACCACTCCAGCCGACGCTTGGCATTGCGCATGGTGATCTTAGGCTTGTGCGTGGCTGCTCGGTCATGGAAACCCATTTCATGAAGCTCCCGATGAACAGCTCTTCTGCTGACATTGCTTCCAGAGGCAATTTGGAACACGGTAGTGAGTGCTGCAACCGAGGACAGACCATTTTTACCCTCTATGTGTTTCATCACTCACCGGTCCTGTTCGGTGAGTTTGTGTGACCTACCACTTCACGGCTGAGCCGTCTTTGCTCCTAGATGTTTCCACTTCTCAATAACAGCACTTACAGTTGACCGGGGCAGCTCTAGCAGGGTAGAAATTTAATTGAACTGACTTGTTGGAAAGGTGGCATCCTATGACGATGCCACATTGAAAGTCACTGAGCTCTTCAGTAAGGCCATTCTAATATCTGTCTGTCTGTCTGTTCAGACCTGGCATAGGGGCTTAATGAGGCTGGGAATAACAGATGTTTCAGCCTCTTTACGCGCGCAAGGGGCCTGGACAATGACCACAGATCACACATTTCACTCCAGACACACACATATACATAGTACATACACACACTGGAATACACACACACACACACACACAAACACACACACACACACACACACAAACACAAACACACACACACACACACACATACACATACACACACACACAAACACACACACACGCATACACATACACACACACACAAATGTATGAAGTGAAGTCGGGGTTATTGATGATTATTCAACAGACCTCCATTCCCTACGTCGACCCCTCCCTCCCGCCCTCACCCTCTCCCCACAGGTCCCCTCCCTCCCTCCCTCCCTCCCTCCCCCTCCCTCCCTCCCTCCCTCCCTCCCTCCCTCCCTCCCTCCTACCCCTCCCTCACCCTCTCCCCATAGTCCCTACCCGCCCTCTCCCTCTCCCCACAGGTCCCCTCCCTCCCTTCCCTCCCTCCCCTCCCTCACCCTCTCCCCACAGGTCCCCCCCCCTTCTCCCTCCCTCCCCACCCTTTCCCTCTCCCCACAGGTCCCCTCCCGCCCTCTCCCTCTCCCCACAGGTCCCCTCCCTCACTCCCCTCCCTCCCCCACCCTCTCCCCACAGGTCCCCTCCCTCCCCTCCCCCACCCTCTCCCCACAGGTCCCCTCCCTCCCCTCCCCCACCCTCTCCCCACAGGCCTCCTCTTGCGCTCTCATATGACTAATGTCTCACAGTCACAATGAGGTCAGAAGCATAATGGTGGGACGTATCTCACAGTTACGGCTGTCTGCAAAGGGCCCATCCATAACAACGTTACCCGTTCAATCATTTTATTGAGGACAGACAGGGCTATTGATTAGCCCTATCAGCTAATCCTGTTAGCTCTAATGCAAGATTCTGAGGGAGGGGAGGTTGGATGGAATCCATATAGAAGTATGGGTAACTCCCTCAAAGGCTACATCCCAAATTGGCCCTATGTGCCCTGTTGACCAGTAGATCACCACATAGGGAATAGGGTGCCATTTGGGACGCAAACAAGGTATAGATAGGCGCCAAAGGAGAAACAACAGAGTTATTATTTTATCTACTAAACCAGGTGATCCCAGTGATGTCACAATACCTCTTTCTTTCCCAGTGATGTCACAATATCTCTTTCTTTCCCAGTGAAGTCACAATACCTCTTTCTTTCCCAGTGATGTCACAATACCTCTTTCTTTCCCAGTGATGTCACAATACCTCTTTCTTTCCCAGTGATGTCACAATACCTCTTTCTTTCCCAGTGATGTCACAATACCTCTTTCTTTCCCAGTGATGTCACAATACCTCTTTCTTTCCCAGTGATGTCACAATACCTCTTTCTTTCCCAGTGATGTCACAATACCTCTTTCTTAAGGGCTGTTGTTGTTTTATTTACTACACTCCTCCCAGGAATCTTTCAAATCAACAGCACTATCTCCCACTCCTGTCTCCCACTCAGGCCACGTCAGTCTCCCACTCAGAGTGTGTGCTCCGGTGCCTTACGCCGGTCGGTTCACCCCTCTTCGCCCGGTTGACAAATTGAGTGTTATTCCTACAGTTAACGTGATAGAAGGACCGTAGCTTTGCAAGGGACTGTTTGACCCCCCCCCCCCCCATCACTCTGTCCACCAGCAACCAGACTTGTCATCAAAGGTCCTTTCAGCTCAGAGTGCAGCAGTTAACCTATGACCAGTTACCCCAAGTGCCCCTTTGTGAAGTGGACGCCCTTAACTTTGGGATGACTGACATGTTTTTTAAAAAGGAAGTTCTCAGGAAGAGTGAAGGATTGCAACAGGGGAGTTGTGTGTGAAGAGGGCAGAGAGGGTTGTGTGTGCGTTTATGGGTGGGGGGGAGGGGTTGTGAGTGGGTGTACGGGTGGGTGTGGGGAGGGGAGTGTTATTGGCGAGGTGCATTGGAGTAGATTTTTTTTTAGTAAGAGCCTTAATTCCTCCTTTTACGAACTGGGACCTTTAGTATTTGCAAACGATCCAGTGCTGCTTCTTCCTTCTTGTCCGCTGCTCATTTGCTGGTGATCAAGACCCTCCTTGTTCTTCCCTGGAAACCCACTCTGCCGCTCTACTCCTCTCCCTCCTTTACCTAGATCACCCCAGTCAAGTGACACGTCAAATCAATTCCTCTTTTTCTCAGGGATTTCTTTTTTATTTCTGATGAATGTCTTCAGTTGGGTTTCATTATTACGTCTTCCTCTGGAATTGTCTCCAAATGGAAAGACGTCCAATTTCATAATTTGTTATGATATTGTATTACAATGCCCGTTGAAAATTAAAAGGATTATACTATGGACGTGAATACATTATTTGATTTTGAATAGAACATCTGGTAATAAAATACCAGTAACGTCCATGCCCATGGTTTCCCTTGTTCCTAGATAGAGTTCATGGTTTCCCTTGTTCCTAGATAGAGTTCTGGTTTCCTTTGTTCCTAGGTGGAGGTTAAACAGTCCCTTTCAGAACCTGGCTCTTAAACCCTGTTTATACCTGGTTCTAGCATGTTAAGCCCTGTTTATACCTGGTTCTAGCATCTTAAGCCCTGTTTATACCTGGTTCTAACTTGTTAAGCCCTGTTTATACCTGGTTCTAGCAGGCGTCCTTTGTCTTGATCTTGCTCACGTTTGTAAAAGGTGCATTGGGATCTTTTACATATTTACATTTTAGTAATTTAGCAGACGCTCTTATCCAGAGCGACATACAGTTAGTGAGTGCATACATTTTCATACTGCCCCCCCGTGGGAAACGAACCCACAACCCTGGCGTTGCAAGCGCCATGCTCTACCAACTGAGCTACGGGGGACCCTGTGTGATCAGATCTTCCTGACCACCTCCAGAGGTAGTCAAACACACATTGTGTCTGGATCTTACAAGTGTAGACGGATCTAGACAGTGAAACCAATTGAAATCATAATTATCCCACCCTCTAAAATCATTGACAGGTGACCCTACTGACTTATGGCATCAATACGTGTCTTAAAATAAATAAATAAATAACTATTATTTTTGAAAGAATATCTGTCAAAAAATGTGCTTGTATGGAGGAACCAGCATATGTGGTCACAATGCGGACACGGTGGACGGATAAGAGACACATTTTACAGCCTTGTGTAGATGTAACGGCTACAATGTGGACACAGTCAGAGTGTGTACGAGATCAGGACACATAATGCCCGTTAGCACCAGGTATAAATGAGTCTTTAGAACCCCAAGACTCCCCAAAACACAACAGTCCAACAGTTTAAAGTGGAAGAGAGGATCAATCTAAGCAGTGCCTGAGACATCTGCTGCGTCACAAATGGCACCCTATTCCAGACATAGTGCACTACTACAAGAGCCTTATGGACCCTGGTCATATTGTGCTATATAGGGAATAGGGTGCCATTTGGGATGCAGAACCATGATCATAGCAGGGCCTGGGATAGGCCTGCAGGCAAGTAGACAAACCGAGCCTGTTAAGGTGCTGAAACTTGTTCACATCCCCCTTCAATGCCTCTCTACACCGCTGAACAAGGGCAGCAAATCAATACCACTCATTTAATGGCATCTAGGAGTGGATATATCAACAAGGGCCAGGGAATGGTTTCACTGATATGGGAGATAGAGGGGGCCAGGGAATGGTTTCACTGATATGGGAGAGAGTGGAGAGGAGCCAGGGAATGGTTTCACTGATATGGGAGAGAGTGGAGAGGAGCCAGGGAATGGTTTCACTGATATGGGAGAGAGTGGAGAGGAGCCAGGGAATGGTTTCACTGATATGGGAGAGAGTGGAGAGGAGCCAGGGAATGGTTTCACTGATATGGAGGAGGGGAGGAAGGAGCCAGGGAATGGTTTCACTGATATGGGAGAGAGAGGGGAGGAGCCAGGGAATGGTTTTCACTGATATGGGAGAGAGGAGAGGAGCCAGGGAATGGTTTCACTGATATGGGAGAGAGAGGAGAGGAGCCAGGGAATGGTTTCACTGATATGGGAGAGAGAGGAGAGGAGCCAGGGAATGGTTTCACTGATATGGGAGAGAGAGGAGAGGAGCCAGGGAATGGTTTCACTGATATGGGAGAGAGAGGAGAGGAGCCAGGGAATGGTTTCACTGATATGGGAGAGAGTGGAGAGGAGCCAGGGAATGGTTTCACTGATATGGGAGAGAGAGGAGAGGAGCCAGGGAATGGTTTCACTGATATGGGAGAGAGTGGAGAGGAGCCAGGGAATGGTTTCACTGATATGGGGAGAGAGAGGAGAGGAGCCAGGGAATGGTTTCACTGATATGGGAGAGAGTGGAGAGGAGCCAGGGAATGGTTTCACTGATATGGGAGAGAGTGGAGAGGAGCCAGGGAATGGTTTCACTGATATGGGAGAGAGTGGAGAGGAGCCAGGGAATGGTTTCACTGATGGCCCATATGGGAGCGAGAGGAGAGGGGCCAGGGAATGGTTTCACTGATATGGGAGCGAGAGGAGAGGGGCCAGGGAATGGTTTCACTGATATGGGAGAGAGAGGAGAGGAGCCAGGGAATGGTTTCACTGATATGGGAGAGAGAGGAGAGGAGCCAGGGAATGGTTTCACTGATATGGGAGAGAGAGGGGACTGGCCAGGGAATGGTTTCACTGATGGCCCATATGGGAGCGAGAGGAGAGGAGCCAGGGAATGGTTTCACTGATATGGGAGAGAGAGGAGAGGAGCCAGGGAATGGTTTCACTGATATGGGAGAGAGAGGGGAGTGGCCAGGGAATGGTTTCACTGATATGGGAGAGAGAGGGGAGTGGCCAGGGAATGGTTTCACCTGATATGGGAGAGAGAGGAGAGGAGCCAGGGAATGGTTTCACTGATATGGGAGAGAGAGGGGACTGGCCAGGGAATGGTTTCACTGATATGGGAGAGAGAGGAGAGGAGCCAGGGAATGGTTTCACTGATGGCCCATATGGGAGAGAGAGGGGACTGGCCAGGGAATGGTTTCACTGATGGCCCATATGGGAGCGAGAGGAGAGGAGCCAGGGAATGGTTTCACTGATGGCCCATATGGGAGCGAGAGGAGAGGGACCAGGGAATGGTTTCACTGATGGCCCATATGGGAGCGAGAGGAGAGGGGCCAGGGAATGGTTTCACTGATGGCCCATATGGGAGCGAGAGGAGAGGGACCAGGGAATGGTTTCACTGATGGCCCATATGGGAGCGAGAGGAGAGGGGCCAGGGAATGGTTTCACTGATGGCCCATATGGGAGCGAGAGGAGAGGGACCAGGGCAGTGTTTTATTAGTGCCTTTAAAGAAACAGACCCACACATACTGGAAATCAACACGGTAGGCTGCTCTCCAAGGGTTTGCTGGACAGATTTATGGGAGCTGTTATCATGATGGAAATCTACGGCAAACCAACTGACATGAGGTGAAAAGGGGGTAGTTCACAATAAATCCCAACCGAAACTGAAATAAATTCATTTTGACGAAAATGTGGTCTCTTTATTATGCTTGTGTTTTTAGGGCATTTGGAATGTTTGGGTCCAAAGAAGCTCTAGGACACAAGAACAGACTTGTGGTTATTAATAACTAGCGTTTGATACAGATACTGTCAGGAACAGTGGAAATTCTCTCTTTTAGTGACAAGACACATTAGCAATAACACTTTAAATTAGAGGTCATGAGCAACATTTCCAACAACGCCTCAGCATTCTCCAACAAGCTGTTACCCTGGCAGAGCCTGACCTCTGGAAGAATGACACATCTATTACCCTGGAAGAGCCTGACCTCTGGAAGAAAGACAAATGTATTACTCTGGCAGTCTGACCTCTGGAAGAAAGACAAATGTATTACTCTGGCAGAGCCTGACCTCTGGAAGATAGACACGTCTTGACCAGATTTATTCTTTTTTTTTTTTTGCTCAAAGGCTTCCCTAACTATATTGAGAAAGTTTACAGCTGGTGTTTCCCTTCCCCTTAAATGTCTTGTTAGTCCGAAAGCTTCTCACAGGGGAATGTGAGTGTGAGAGAGGGAGATCAAGCAGACGTTTTAGTCTCTCTGTATGTACCTGTCAATAAAAGATATGAGATAGAGAGAGAGTAGAGATGAGATGAGCGAGAGATGATATCAGCGAGATAGGAGATAGTAGAGAGAGAGAGAGATGATCCCCTTATCCCTCTCTGCCTCTCCAGTTACGCTCGCGATCTCTTCGTCTCTCTCTCTCTTAGTCATCTCTCTCCCTCTGCTCTCCATCACCGACAGAGAGATGAGCCTGGAGAAGAGTCCCCTAAGCAAGCTGGTCCTGGGGCTCTGTTCACAAACACAAACAGACCTCACAGAGCCCCAGGACAGCAACACAATTAGACCCAACCAAATCATGAGAAAACAAAAAGAGAATTACTTTACACATTGGAAAGAATTAACAAAAAAACAGAATAAACTAGAATGCTATTTGGCACTAAACAGAGAGTACACAATGGCAGAATAACCTGACCACTGTGACTGACCCAAACTTTAAAGACTCAGTGAGCATAGCCTTGCTATTGAGAAAGCCCGCTGTAGGCAGACCTGGCTCTCAGGAGAAGACAGGCTATGTGCACACTGCCCACAAAATGAGGTGGAAACTGAGCTGCACTTCCTAACCTCCTGCCAAATATATGGCCATATTAGAGACACATATTTCCTTCAGATTACACAGTCCCACAACGAATTTGAAAACAAACCCAGTTTGAATAAACTCACATATCTATTAGGTGAAATACCACAGTGTGGAAATCAAAACACACCACACACAAGCACAGATGTTGACTCTATTTTTTCCACATATAAAAAAGGGCAACCATTGAAGAATAAACAAACAATTTCAAATACAACCTCAAATACACCCCAAACACCCCCGTATTTATGTTTCTTTTATTTTCATTTTCCTTATTTTCCCCTTTTGTACTTGAACTTTTTGCACATATTTATGACATTTTGAAATGCTTTTATTTTTATCTTTATTTTATTCGTTTGCAGTTGTATGTCTATAAACTGATGTCGATAATGTCTACTGTTTACTAATTTATTTGTTTCTAATTTCACTTTTATTATTTCATTCACTATTGTTTATATTTCACTTTTATTAATCTACTTCAACTTCTTATGTATCTCTAACTTTCACTTTCTCTCTACTACACTTATCTACTATAATCTACTCTCCTATCTCTAACTTAAAAATTATCTCTACTTCCACTGTTTCTTTTCAACTCTTATCTACTTACTTCACTTGCTTTGGCAATGTTAACATATATGTTCCTGATTCCAAAAAAGAAGCCCCTTCACAATTGAGAGATGAGAGCGAGAGATAGAGGAGAGAGAGATATGGGTCTGTCTAGCTTTAGCTATGATTTCTATAGAAGCAGTTTTGTTTTTTGTTTTGCTCGTTCTTCTCTCGCTATATCTCTATCTAGCAGAGATAGCCCTATACAGATCGCTAGATCCCTAGTTCGCATAGCAGAGAGAGAGCGATCGAGATGCGCTCTCTCTGATATTTATCTTTCTCTTTGCTTTTCGCTCGTTTTTCTTTTTATTCTCCCCCTTTCCTTTTCTTCTCAGTTTTAAGACAAATAATGGCACACTGCCTTTTCAGAAATGAAACAACAAATGTCATTCCTTAATAAAACATGTAAACATAAAAATAAATTAAATAAAAATACAAAAAAGCATATATATACATTCAACTCATTTCATCAACAAAAAATTGTTTCCCCTCCTCCACAAAACAAACCGCTCCTTCGTAGCCCACTTCTCCTCAAACAATGGGAGATCTTTTACAGCCGAGAAGAACTCAAAATCCACTTTTATTATCGCTTTCACTAATCCTTGAAAAACACATCTTACATCCTGCCCATATCCCGTTTCTATCTTATGTTTCCTACTCAGAAAAATTGACATCTTAGCTTGCCCAAAATAAAATGTAACAGTTGACATTTTATTTTCTCTTGCTTACTATAATGAAACCTCAAAATAAAAACAGTGTTATTGAAAATCTCCCCTACAGCTTTAAACAAAGACTTTCCAAAAAAGGCTTTATCCTCTCACACTCCATAAAACAGTGAATTTTTTTTTCTCTTATATTACAAAAAGGACATCCATCTCCAACATCTGAGTTAATAACAGATACAAAAGCATTAACTGCAATGATGCCATGCAAAACCCTCCATTGCGTATCACCAGTACCCTTTTGTAACGGAGGCTTGTACAGTGCTCTCCACGCTGGCTTTACCTCGTCATCAATGCCCAATTTTACCCTCCATGTAGTGTCTTTTCTATTTTTCAATCTATCTTTATTCAACACCTTGACACACCCCCTATACAAGTCTTTCCCATTCACCTCATCCAAATCCACCTCTTCCAACCCTCTCAAATCCAGTAATAACGCCTTTCTTTCTGACTCTGGGATATTGGGTGTAATCCCTAGTCTTGGAAATGAGACGTTTTCATCTTGTACCTTCTTCTTGTGACTATTAAGCATACCCCACTCTTCTGCTGACAGAGCCTTCCTGCAGCTTCCCAGCAGTTGTCCGACAATCCTTTCCGACCTCACCCCCAAATGTTCAGCCACCCGTCTTCCATCCATTAAGGTGGGCCCAGCCATGGCCATTAACTGCTTTAAGGTGATGATTTTGCCCTTCATCAGAATCTTGGAGAAATGTGGAACAGCTGCAGTTGTACAATCTAGTCTTGCCCATACACCAGAGGTTCCTCCAACAGCCAATGCACTGACTCCGCTGAAGTGCGTCTGGACACCTTCATTATACTCCACACCCTTAGAAGGCCTCTGTAAAACGGAGGTACTCCCTCCCTAGAAATCTGGCTACTATCAACCAAAAATACAGCCTTCTTTAAACCTAATCCCCCAACCTGCTGTAATCCAAGACCTGCCACCCCTCTCCAAACCACATTTTCTGGTCCATAAAGCAACCTTTGAATAAACTGAAACCGGAAAGCAGCAGCCTTACTAGCAAGATGTACAAGACCTTGTCCCCCCTCCTCTTTTGACAAATACAAAACACTTTGTGAAACCCAATGATATTCATCCCAAAATAAATCTACAATAATCACCTGGATCTTAGCCAGAAGGCCAGATGGTGGCTCTAAAACTGACAGCCGATGCCACAATGCAGAGGCAACCACATTGTTAACTATAATAGTGCACCCCCTATATGACATGCAAGATAACAACCAATGTCATCTCCTCATCCTCCCTTCCACCATTTCAACCACCCCATTCCACATTTTTTCCATTGTCCCCTCATCTCTTAGGTACAC